ACCTGATGTCACTCATGCACTGTACAGCACAGAGCTGAGTGTAATCTGAGACCTGAGTGGGGGAAAGGACAACCCCCCAAGTTTATCTCTAACAATCTCTCCTCTACAGCCTCCTAAAGAACACAGATTAAAGTCTTTTTCTGAGCTCCGGAAGGCAGGGGGTGGGGACCTGATGTCACGCACTGCACAGCATAGAGCTGAGTGTAATCTGAGAGCTGAGTGGGGGAAAGGACACCCCCCCAAGTTTATCTCTAGCCATCTCTCCTCTACAGCCTCCTAAAGAACACAGATCAAAGTCTTTTTCTGAGCTCCAGAAGGCAGGGGGTGGGCACCTGATGTCACTCACGCACTGCACAGAGCTGAGTGTAATCTGAGAGTTGAGTGGGGGAAAGGACACCCCCCTCTACACAGTCTCATATTACCTTTTCTAGCACAAACCTCTCAAATTACCCCTCCTAGCACACATCCTCTTCCCCACCCCCCCTTCCAACACAAATCCCCTCAAATCATCACCTCTTCAAATGTCCCAACCTAGAGCGATGCTAAACCCCTGACGACCATAACTTTCTCCCAACCAACACAAATCCCCTCCCCCCAATCTCCTGGTGGTGGCCCTCCAACCTCATATGACGCCACAGTGCCCAGGGCAGCCGCCCCTCCTGCCCACCCCTTGTCCCAGCCCTGCATGTAGTTGGATTGGTGTCCCCCAGAAGAGAGATCTGCAAAGATGTCCGCTAAGTCCCTGCGAGGCGCATAACTCCCCCAGAAAGGGTCCCGCGTGTCCTCTGCAAAGCCAAAGTCCCGATTTATCATTTTCATGTTCAACCGGATCTGAGCTTTCACCGCGACAAACTTCTTTCCTTTTCTTTCCGAAACTCTGCAACCTGCAAATCAGCATCATGTCTAACATTCCCGGCAACATTACCACCCCGGCAATCGCAGCAAAGATACTTTTTTTTTAAATGTAATAATTGAAATTGTCGATTACGCAGAGAAAACGCGATCACCTGGGCAGTAATTATGGTGACAACGGCGGCGACGCTAAATTAACTCGGTGAAAAAAAATGAAAGCGCCCCCCGGCTACGAATCTTCAGAAACTGAAATGGAAACTGGAGTGTATCTGCCATGAAATTCGCTGTTACCCCCACGCCCTGCGGTGACATTTATTTCAACTGTTTTATGCCGACTTCGTGGTTTTTTGTTTTTTTTTCCCGGCTGGTTCTGTCACGTTCTTCATGGCGTTACATCGGCGCCTCGCTAATATGCAAAGATGTACAATCAGCACCATTGCTGAACAGCCGCTGTTACATTTGTTACAATTTAGGGATTTTTTGTTTGTATGTCTGGAGCTGGAGAAGCATTGCACAGAATCAGAACCAATGTGTGGGCTCAGAAATCAGAACCAATGTGTGGGCTCAGAAATCAGAACCGATGTCTGGGCTCAGAAATCAGAACCCATGTCTGGGCTCAGAAATCAGAACCGATGTCTGGGCTCAGAAATCAGAAACCGATGTCTGGGCTCAGAAATCAGAACCGATGTCTGGGCTCAGAAATCAGAACCGATGTCTGGGCTCAGAAATCAGAACCGATGTCTGGGCTCAGAAATCAGAACCGATGTCTGGGCTCAGGAACAGTGGCGTCCTGAGGCAGGTGCGGGGGGGGGGGCGGCCTGCACCGGGTGACACCGGACCCGCTCCACACGGAAAGATAAGTTGTAAAGCAAGCCGACGATGCCAGCAGGATGGATCGGATCTGCGGATTGGGGAGCATAATGGATCGGAGTCCAATCCATTATGCTCAATCCACAGATCCAATCCATTCTGCGGGGATCGTCGGAGGGGGTGTTACCAAGTGTTACCCACACCGGGTGACACCAACCCTAGGGACGCCTCTGCTCAGAAATCAGAACCAGTGTCTGGGCTCAGAAATCAGAACCAATGTCTGGGCTCAGAAATCAGAACCAATGTCTGGGCTCAGAAATCAAAACCAATGTCTGGGCTCAGAAACAGTGGTGTCCTGAGGCAGGTTGCGGCCCACACCAGGTGACACTGACCGCACGGGGTGACACCGGACCCACTCCACGAAAAGGTAAGTTGTAAAGCAAGTTGACGATCCCTGCAGGATGGATCGGATCTGCGGATTGAGCATAATGGATTGGAATCCGATCCATTATGCTCAATCCGCAGATCTGATCCATTCTGCGGGGATCATCGGAGGGGGTGTTACCAAATGTTACCGGCACCGGGTGACACCAACCCTAGGGACGCCTCTGCTCAGAAATCAGAACCAATGTCTGGGCTCAGAAATCAGAACCAATGTCTGGGCTCAGAAATCAGAAACCAATGTCTGGCTCAGAAACAGTGGCGTCCCGAGGCAGGTGCGGGAGAGTGCGGCCCGCAAAGGTAAGTTGTAAAGCAAGCCGACGATCCCTGCAGGATGGTTCAAATCTGCGGATTGAGCATAATGGATCAGAGTCCGATCCACTATACTCAATCCGCAGATCTGATCCATTCTGCGGGGATCTTCGGAGGGGGTGTTACCAAATGTTACCGCACCGGGTGACACCAACCCTAGGGACGCCTCTGCTCAGAAATCAGAACCAGTGTCTGGGCTCAGAAATCACTCCATCAGAATTTATCCTCTGAATGTCTACAGTCTCATATTGAAATAGGCAGAGCTTTTTTTTTTTTTCAGAAAATAGGTGCAGGAACTGCCCCCTTCTGAGTCACCCCTTGTCTCCACCCTCTACACACCCCTGAGCACCACCCCTTGGTTCCTCCCCCTACCCACCTCCTCCCAGTACCTCCCCTTTTAGAGAATATAGAGCCAAGTATCATTTTATGGTGGTAAATAATTTGCAAATGATAACAAGAAAAGCATTAAAATAGATCCCCTGAAGTCAGCAACAATAGCGACCCCCTCCAGCAACAATAGACCCACCCTAGCAAACATGGATCCCCCAAGCAACAATAGGTCTCCCCAGCAACAACTGACTCCCCCAAGAAACAATAGGTCCCCCCCAGCAACAACTGCCCCTTTAGCAACAATAGATCCCCCCAGCAACAATAACCCCCTTTGCAACAATAAGTCTCTCCAGCAACAATAGACCCCCCAAGTAACAATAGGTCCCCCCGCTGCAACAATAGACCCCCTTAGCAACAATTGACTCCCCCAAGCAACAATAGGTCCCCCCAGCAACAATTGCCCCCCAAGCAACAACAGGTCCACTCCAGCAACAATAGAGCCACCCTAGCAAAAATGGTTCCCCCTTAGCAACAATAGTTCTCCCCAACAACAATTGACCCCCTTAGCAACAACTGACTCCCCCAAGAATCAATAGGTCCTCCCAGCAACAATTTTCCCCCCTTAGCAACAATAGATCCCCCAATAACAACAGACTCCCCCCAAGTAACAATAGGTTCCCCCAGCAAAAAATAGACCCCCTAAGTAAAAATAGGTCCCCTCAGCAACTATAGACCCCCTTAGTAACAATTGTCTCCCCCAAACAACAATTGCCATCCTTAGCAACAAATAGATCCCCCCAGCAACAATACCCCCCCAATCCCCCCAGCAACAATAGACCCCTCTAGGAATAATATCACCCCCAGCAACATCCCTGCATCAACCCAACAGACTCCCCATATCGAAATACTCCCCAACTGAAACAATAGAAAACCCAACAGCAACAAAACATTAGATCTCTCAGCAGTCACCCTCAATAGACCCTCCAACCATAGACCCCTCCCTCAACAGTAGATCCCTCCCTGTAACAATTGACCCCTCCTCCAGCAACAATAGATCCCCCCTCAGCAACAATAGACTCCCCTTCCCAAATCAGTAGGTCCCTCAGTGACAATAGATCCTGAAGCCAGCATCAATAGACCCTACAACATACACCCGTGTTCCTGCTGAACCCCCCCCCCCCCCAGAAATAGGTCACATGAGGTACTCAGCACATTAAAGTGGACCCAAATCATTGGCAGTCTATGGAAACAGCTATGAGAAGTTGTTACAATTTCCTGCGCATAGATCCAGTGAGTATTTCTGCTCTTCTGGATGTTCTCAGTCCATGACAACTCCCCCCATATTGTGTCTGTGTGTTATTGGGGGATTCAGAAAACTTACCTGATTAGGGAACAAAGGGATCCGGAATCAAAGAGTGAAGCTTTTCTATGGCAATGAGACCATTCAGAGACATTGTGTGGAAGCGGCTTCATCTCATGACAGGTCCTCTTTAAGGTGAGATGTTTCTTCTGTTCCCGGAGACAAGGAAGCCCAGCGAGGATTTCCCCGGAACTTGTTACATTGTTGCTTTGTGCAGCTTTCCTTCCGCTGGAGGTGCGGCATTAATATTTCATAATCCGGTGGATCCGAAGATTGAGAATCACATCCCGCCGTTCATCTAATATTCCGGCTCCGGGATCATCGGGGAATTCACTTTTTTTTTCCTATGAGCAGAACCCCCCCCCCCCCATATATATATGTCCCCCCCCATATATATGTCCCCCCCCCATATCTATGTCAGGGCTGAGATATCTCCTGGGGTATGAGAACGTTTCATATCTCGTTATCTGCGCCGGTGGTTGTAGCGCCTTCATAGACCGTCTCCTGGGGGGAAAATCGAGGCCGCTTCAGATTTCGGGATCTCTGTGTGGGCCGCGGTTCAGCAAATTAACCCCTCGCTTGCTGGGCACTGTCACCCCCCCCCCTTCCTGCCGGGCACTGTCACCCCCCCTTCCTGCCGAGCACTGTCACCTTCTTGCCTGCCGGGCACTGTCACCCCTCCCTTCCTGCCGGGCACTGTCACAACCCCCCCCCCCCTTGCCTGCCGGGCACTGTCACCCCCCCTTCCTGCAGGGCACTGTCACCCCCCCTTCCTGCAGGGCACTGTCACCCCCCCCCCCCCCTTCCTGCCGGGCACTGTCACCCCCCCCGCCTGCCGGGCACTGTCACCCCCCCTGCCTGCCGGGCACTGTCACCCCCCCCCCCCCTTCCTGCCGGGCACTGTCACCCCCCCCTTCCTGCCGGGCACTGTCACCCCCCCCCTTCCTGCCGGGCACTGTCCCCCCCCCTTCCTGCCGGGCACTGTCACCCCCCCCTTCCTGCCGGGCACTGTCACCCCCCCTTCCTGCCGGGCACTGTCACCCCCCCCCCCCCGCCTGCCGGGCACTGTCACCCCCCCCTTCCTGCTGGGCACTGTCACCCCCCCCTGCCTGCCGGGCACTGTCATCCCCCCCTTCCTGCCGGGCACTGTCACCCCCCCCTTCCTGCAGGGCACTGTCACCCCCCCTTCCTGCCGGGCACTGTCACCCCCCCCCTTCCTGCAGGGCACTGTCACCCCCCCTTCCTGCAGGGCACTGTCACCCCCCCTTCCTGCCGGGCACTGTCCCCCCCCCTTCCTGCAGGGCACTGTCACCCCCCCCCTTCCTGCCAGGCACTGTCACCCCGCCCTTCCTGCCGGGCACTGTCACCCCCCCCCCGCCTGCCGGGCACTGTCACCCCCCCCTGCCTGCCGGGCACTGTCACTGTCACCCCCCCCCCCCCTTCCTGCCGGCCACTGTCACACCCCCCCCCCCTTCCTGCCAGGCACTGTCACACCCCCCCTTCCTGCCGGGCACTGTCACCCCCCTTCCTGCCGGGCACTGTCACCCCCCCTTCCTGCTGGGCACTGTCACCCCCCCTGCCTGCCGGGCACTGTCATCCCCCCCTTCCTGCCGGGCACTGTCACCCCCCCCTTCCTGCCGGGCACTGTTACCCCCCCTTCCTGCCGGGCACTGTCACCCCCCCCTTCCTGCCTGGGCCAATATTCAATGGAGAGGTGTATTTTTGGTGTTTTTTTTTTTAATCGCACCAAACAAGCGCCACAAAGCACGACTTTTAAAAACGCAACTGAAAAGCAACAGACCAGAATGAAGAGTTCCAAAAGCGATGCATTTTTTTTTGCGCATTTTCTTCCAGTTTTTGTAACTGAAGACCGATCAATGTGTAAGGGCCCTAGAAAAAACGTTGAATAAAAAATGCTGGTAATAGAGTTTTTAGTAGCTTTTAGAAGCATTTAGGAGCGTTAGCGTGTTATTAGCGTTTTTACAGAACATGTAGAAAAAAAACCTGTTAGTAGCGTGTTAATAGCGTTTATGAGCCTTTAGCGTTTTTTTTCTGCTGACAAAACGCTCCAAAAAAACGCTCCAAAGACAATTTTTTTTCTGCTCCTAGACGCTGGAGCTCAAAAAGCGCCAATAGCCGAAAGTAGTGCGACTGGACACACAGGAGAACACGATCCAGCTTCTAGGAGCAGAAAAAAAATGCTGATAACAGCTTCTAGGAACTAAACAAACGCTGGTGTGCATGCAGCCTAAAAGTCCTGCTTGCTGCATATTTGGTGAATGTTTGGTGTGGTAATAAAAAAAATCAGCAAAAAAACGCACCTCTCCACTGAAATGAATAGAAACAGCTGCAAAAAGGCATCAATAAGGCATCGAAAATGCAACGCACTTGTGGGAAGTGCTTAGTCCAGTCACATGTCCAGGAGAAAAAAATGCAACGGAAACGTGCCAAAAAACACACCAAAAACTCATCAAAAACGCAACTCACTGCAGCAAAAATGAATATGCGTTTTTGCCGCGTTCTTGCAATGGAGCAGTGTGAAAGCAGCCTAAGCAGGAATCAACATCTTATTTCACTTTTATACTTTACTGTATCTATTGCAATATGTTTTCACTTCAAAATTCATTTTTGAGTTTGTTGAAATTCGTTTATATCGTGATTTAGAAATTCGGACATGTCCAAGTTAAGAAAATTTTTGTCCAAATTTTGATTTGGAACAAAACGAACCGCACATGTCTAGTATTCGGTTTCCACCTGATGCTGGCTGATGGGAAGGTATTTCGGTCCCCCCCTATTAGTGCCTCTCGCATTTGGATTTGGAACAAAACGAACTGCACATGTCTAGTATTCTGTTTCCACCCGATGCTGGCTGATGGGAAGGTATTTAGGTGCCCCCCCCCCCATTAGTGTTTCACGCATTTGGATTTGGAACTAAACGAACCGTACATGTCTAGTATTAGGTTTCCACCCGATGCTGGCTGATGGGAGGGTATTTAGGCCCCCCCTTAGTGCCCCTGACATTTCAATTTGGAATGTAACAAGCCGTACATGTCTAGTATTTGGTTTCCACCCGATGCTGGCTGATGGGAGGGTATTTAGGTCCCCCCATTAGTACCTATGGCATTTCGATTTGGATTGAAATGAGCTGCACATGTCTAGCATGCTGTTTCTACCCGATGCTGGCAAATGGGAGGGTATTTAGGTCCCCCTCTATTAGTGCCTATGGCATTTCAATTTTGAACGAAACGAACTGCACATGTCTAGTATTCTGTTTCTACCCGATGCTGACTGATATGAGGGAATTTAAGACCTCCCCCCCCACTTTTTAGTGGCTCACGCATTTCGATTTGTAATGAAACAAATCACATGTTGTCTACCTGCTACTTCCAATGGTAGACCAGCAGTAGAATGGCCCCTTTGAATTGGCCCTATCTATAACTTGGGGCCCATTGAGGCAGTGTGGGTGGGAGGGGCGATTTTAATAGTCCCCCTCCTCCTGAATCACCTGTTCGCTAACAGGGGACATGCAAATTTTTTATTTTTAGAAGTTTTTTTTACCTCTAGCAGCTTGTTAGCGCATGATAAGTAACACATCGGGAATGAAATATGACCGAGGAAGCTGAGTAAACGGTACTGCATTCCGCTCTAATAGAGATCTAATTTGTTTGGAAGTTAAAAGAAACACGCCTGGGGTTATGGACGCTACCTGCCACGCAGGAAGAAAGATCGCCTGCAAAGTGCGCCGTCTAATGAGGAGCAGGAAAGCGTCTTCCACTGGCGGCCAGCAGGGGTCTCTCTTCCATTCGCTATGGATTCGCCATCCGCTGACGGCCTCACCTGGAAAGCCTCCAGAGTTTATTACACCTTGCTGCTTATGGAGCTCCCATCACTAACAGAACACAATGCGTCTTCTGGGCTGGATCCCGGGGTTCTGCATCTTCTGGGCCGGATCCCGGGGTTCTGCATCTTCTGGGCTGGATCCCGGGGTTCTGCATCTTCTGGGCTGCATCCCGGGGTTCTGCGTCTTCTGGGCTGCATCCCTGGTTCTGCGTCTTCTGGGCTGCATCCCTGGTTCTGCGTCTTCTGGGCTGCATCCCGGGGTTCTGCATCTTCTGGGCTGGATCCCGGGGTTCTGCATCTTCTGGGCTGGATCCCGGGGTTCTGCATCTTCTGGCCTGCATCCCGGGGTTCTGCATCTTCTGGGCTGGATCCCGGGGTTCTGCATCTTCTGGGCTGGATCCCGGGTTCTGCTGCTTTTATTGCCTTTGTTGTATAAATGTTCTGCGCAGCAGGAGAAGAGTATATATTGTGACATAAACACGGCTTATTTAAAAGAGAATTTCAGGCAAAACCCAGAAGTCAGAAATATGCAATAGAAAAAAAAAGTCTTCGAAATATCTGTTTTTTATGCATTGTACTGAAGAAACCCCCCCCCCCAAAAAAAAACACGGTAGGGGGGGTTTAATGAGCTTTAAAGTAGATCTAATCATTAACCACTTCCAGTCCGGACGCTTTCCCCCCCCTTCCAGTCCGGACGCTTTCCCCCCTTCCAGTCCGGACACTTTCCCCCTTCCAGTCCGGACGCTTTCCCCCCCCTTCCAGTCCGGACGCTTCCCCCCCCCTTCCAGTCCGGACGCTTTCCCCCTCCTTCCAGTCCGGACGCTTTCCCCCCCTTCCAGTCCGGACGCTTTCCCCCCCCCTTCCAGTCCGGACACTTCCCCCCTTCCAGTCCGGACACTTCCCCCCCTTCCAGTCCAGACACTTTCACCCCCTTCCAGCCCGGACACTTTCCCCTCCTTCCAGTCCGGACACTTTCACCCCCTTCCAGTCCAGACACTTTCCCCCCCTTCCTGTCCGGACACTTTCCCCCCATTCCTGTCCGGACACTTTCACCCCCTTCCAGTCCGGACACTTTCCCCCCTTCCTGTCCGGACACTTTCCCCCCTTCCTGTCCGGACACTTTCACACCCCTTCCAGTCCGGACACTTTCACCCCCTTCCAGTCCGGACACTTTTCACACCCCCTTCCAGTTCGGACACTTTCCCCCCTTCCAGTCCGGACACTTTCCCCCCTTCCTGTCCGGACACTTTCACCCCCTTCCAGTCCGGACACTTTCACCCCCTTCCAGTTCGGACACTTCCCCCCCCCTTCCAGTCCGGACACTTTCACCTCTTCCAGTCCGGACACTTTCCCCCCCTTCCTGTCCGGACACTTTCACCCCCTTCCAGTCCGGACACTTTCCCCCCCCTTCCAGTCCGGACACTTTCCCCCCCTTCCAGTCCGGACACTTTCATCCCCCTTCCAGTCTGGACACTTTCCCCCCTTTCCAGTCCGGACACTTTCCCCCCCTTCCAGTCCGGACACTTTCCCCCCTTCCTGTCCGGACACTTTCACCCCCTTCCAGTCCGGACACTTTCACCCCCTTCCAGTCCAGACACTTTCACCCCTTCCTGTCCAGGCCAATTTTCAGCTTTCAGCGCTGTCACACTTTGAATGACAATTGCGCGGTCATGCAACACTGTACCCATATGAATTTTTTTAGCATTTTTTTGAGACAGATAAAGCTTTATTTTGGTGGTATTTATTCACCGCTGGGATTTTTATTTTTTTTGTTATGTAAATTAAAAAGTCCAAAAATTTTGAAAAAAAAGTGTTTTTCTTATAACATTTTGCAAATAAATAATATTTCATCATAAATCTCGGCCAAAATTGATTCAGTTATATTTTTAGTAAAAAAAAAAAAAAAACCCAAATTAGTTTATAACCAAAAATTATAATTTTTAAACATTTTATTTTACATTTTTTTTTTTATATTATTATATTTCTTTCTTTCTTTCTTTACATACTGTCACCCTAGCAGTACAGTCACCATGGTGACACTGTACTACTTGTGGGGGGTGATGAAGATTTTTTTTTTTTTTTACACTGATTGCTTTTACACTCATAAAGGATGTAAAAGCAATCATTTCTCCTCTCTGGCTGCATTCTTGCAGCCATTGAGAAATACTGTGAGAGCTGTGATTGGTCACAGCTTGGCACATGGTACATGGTACAAGGCTGTTGTGAATGGCCCTGTACCATGTGATCTCGGTGATCATTCACAGATTTCACACGTAGTAAGCAATGATGTCAGAAGTGATATCTTGCTTACTACTCTGCATGTAATCACTGATTGGCCAATCAGTGATCACATGATCGGGACCTCGCACAGAGGTCCCGTCCGATGATCAGTGTTCCACTGTGTCCGGAGGACACAGCAGGCACCGGATCGCGGTGCTGCGCACTCCCAGGGAGTGAGCACAAGCAGGATGCGGGGAGGCCGTTTATAAACGTCCACCCGCCCCTGCACTGCCACCATCCGGCCGTTTTTATACAACGGCCGGATGGGATGTGGTTAAAGGATTCTATAGGATTGCAGGCAGGTGCACTCTGCTTTCTCCACTGCAGGTGGCGCTCAATGGCAATGGCATAGCAGAAAGTCAAGAGGAACAAGGTTCATCTATGGTTTCCTGGTCCAATTGGAAGTGATCCGGATGGACGCTGCTACCCCATGTGACTCTGGTGGCCATCTTGGGTCACGAAGAGTCTATTTAGGACCCTGGCTCCTGAGTTTGGCACGCATTCATGTGGGCAGCATAGGGACTGGTCACCCGTCTTTTGGGGAAAGTGAATAGTGATAGGGAAAGGGTTTAGATGAGTAGGGACAGGATAGGGACACGCTATTCTTCCTGGAATCCTTCCATCTGGAATTATGGCCCATTGTTGGAGTCAGTGGATGGAATAGTGTCCCATGGGCCAGATAAAAGCAAGCAAAGGGTGGCACCTGGCCCATGGGCCAAAGTTTGGAGCCCTGATATCATCCTCACTGAACATCTTCCAGATGAACTTTTGGAATGCTGATTTCAAACCAGCTGTCCTTGTCACTAGGGGTCTCCCTGTTTAGCTAAGCACCACATAAATAGGAGGGTGGGGAGAAGATAGTGGTTGCTGTCGGTGGCGTTTTAGAGAACAGACAGGAAGGACAGGTATTTCTGAGTTAGGACCTCATGGGAATTCAATGGCCTCACCAGCAGAGATCGTGCAGTACAGCAGACCACTCCTTTACCTGCTGGGGAACACTGGAACTCCCCCTACCCTTCAGTGGGCCAGACCAGGATAGCTGAGGAACAGATTAGGCAGAGGATGGGACTTCATACAACAAAGAAGGGGCTACCATGTGTTCAACTAAGCTATATCGTGCCCTTCATGTATCCATGAAGAATTTCCTGCATGATCAGTGTTTTGCCATTTCACGTTCAGTAATGCAAGAAAGAGAAAAACATGGAGTCAGGAGTCAGTCTCTTCCTTGCCAATTAAAGTGGGTGGTCTATACGTGGGGCACCTTGTGTGGAACTTGGCTTAGTGAGAGGTGGTGGTGCCCTGGTGAGTTGAGTCTGCCACCATGTTGGTAAAGACAGGTCCCCTGAAGGCACCATATACCCATGACCTTTACATAGGGGACCTTGTGTGGAACTTGGCTCAGTGAGAGGCTTTGGTGCCCTGGTGAATTGGGTCTGAATTGGGTCTGCATGTTGGTAAAGAAGGGTTCTTTGAAGGCACCATGTACCCATTACCTTTACCTAGTGAACTTGGTGTAGAGTTACTCACCCTGAGGTCATCACAGAGGACAAGGGGGCACTCTTTAGGTCTGGAGAAAAAGAGATTTAATCTCCAAATATGGAAAGGTTTCTTCACAGTAAGAGCTGTGAAAATGTGGCATAGACTCCCTCAACAGTTGGTTCTGGCCAGCTCAGTGGATTGCTTTAAAAAAAGCCCTGGATTCTTCCCTAGATACACAGAATATAACTGAATACTAACCTTTATAGGCAAAGTTGATCCAGGGAATATCCGATTACCTCTTGGGGGATTGGGAAGGAATTTTTCCCCTGTAGGGGCAAGTTGGATCGTGCTTTGCTGGTTTTTTTTTGCCTTCCTCTGGATCAACTATGGGTATAGGATTATAACTTTTTTTTTTTTGGTTGAACTGGATGGACGTTTGTCTTTTTTCAGCCAGATTAACTATGTAACTATGTAACCTGGGGAAACTTGTGTTGGACTTGGCTCAATGAGAGGCATTGCTGCCCTGGTAAGGTGGGTCTGCCATCATGCTGGTAAGATAAGCTCTTTATCTGCGCCATGAACCCATGGCCTATACCTTGGAAACCTTGTGTGGAACTTGGCTCAGTGAGGTGATGGGTCCCTGGTGAGTTGGGTCTACCACCATGTTGGTAAAGACAGGTTTCTTCTTGAAGACACCATGTACCCATGACCTTTACCTGGGGGTTCTTGTGTGGAAACAGGCTGAGTGAGAGGCCTTGGGTCTCTGGTGCATTGGTTCTGCCACCAAATTGGTAAAGACGGGTTCCTTATCTGCAGCATGGACCCATGGCCTATACCTTGGCAAACTTTTGTGAAAGTTGGCTCAGTGAGAGGTGGTGGTGCCCTTGTCAGTTGGGTCTGCCACCGTATTGGGAAGAGGAAGAGTTGGAAGAAACATTCCCTGTTGGAACCATTAGCCCAGCAGCCTTGAGACTGTGTGGTTGCCATAGCCTGAGATGAACCAGGTTAAAATTGTAGGAAATGGGGCCCTGTTAGCATTGTGTGTCTAGTGAATTTGGGGGGGGGGGGGGGGTTCATGATAGGCTGTGGTGGGATGGAGGTCTCCTAAGTCCCCAGCAAAGTCCCTCCTGTAGTTCCCCTAGCCTGGAAACTGGCTTATCACCCAAGGAGGAGCGACTAAAGCACCACACCTCAGGGGTGAGGTACATAGGGGTGTGGAGTGTTTCTTCTGTACGGTTCATTGGCACAAAATGTTCATATAATAAAAACATTTCCAGTCATCCAAAAACAACCAAAAATCAAGGTACAGTTCAGTATCAGCTACTGAAATTTGGCAGTCGAAAGGGGATGCAGGTGTCACAGTGTGTTACAACCCCAGATCTTCTTTATTCCATCCACAAGACCTGAAACTGTCCCTTTGTACCGGGGATCTCTCTGGGCTGCTTCTAATGACATTATTACTGACGTTTCGGTTTGCCAGAGACACTTAACCCTTCCACCATCAATAAAAGAAAATGCATTAGATGGAGAGGTTAGAGGGAAACAAACCACAGCGAGCGAAATGTCAGCTAAACTGGAACACAATATACTTGTTTTGATTTCCTCCCTTTATACGCCGACTTCCAGGCCTCCGAAACGCCTGCCAATTGAAGCAATTCAGTTCCGACTAAACAACCCCGTATCTGTTTCGCTTGACTTAGAAATCACATTAATTCAAAGATTATTCCTCTGCACGCTGCACGGCATATTCACAGGTACGTTACACAACTGACAATTTGTCAGCGCTCCCTCCAAGACTTCTACATGGGGAATAGGATCCAATTTGGATCGGTTACAAGCGAATAAACATAATAAACTTCAAAACTGGGCTCCTGTAGAAACAGCGCAGCACAAAATCAGAGTTACAAAAAATGGCTGTCTATGGGAAAAGGAAAAACGAAAGGAGACTTGGAAAGGAATATCGTCAATGGCGTTTTTTTTGGAAGGTGGACTGACGCAATGGGTGTAACCAGGACCGTGGATAAGGGGGTACCACAGGTCCTCCTGTACGGGGCCCAGACCAGCAGGGGGGCCCAGGCAGCTGGGTAAATCGTATGTGTGTAGGGTGGGTGATCAGCAATTACTGGAACTGATCCCCTGTACGGCTCTCTGTGCAGCAGCTGAAAGACGGCTTCTTCTCCTCTCCTTTCCGCTAGCATTCAGCTGCTGCAAAGAAAGAGACATACAGAGTTACATAGTTAGTCTGGCTGATAAAAGACAAAAATCCATCCAGTTCAACCATAGAAAAAAAAAAAGTTATAATCCTATACCCACAGTCAGGGCGGACTGACAACTCATGGGGCCCCCGGGCAATAGGGGATCATGGGGCCCCTGTGTCCTTGCCCACACTCAAAAAAGCCTATGGAAAAAGGTACC